GGCCGTAGCTGTCGCCCTCACCGCCCCCCACGCCGCCGCCTCCGGCACCGCCGCCGCCGGCCCCTCCGCTACCCTCGCCGCCGCCTCCCTCGCCCCCGCCCTCGCAACCGCCGCCCTCGCAACCGCCGCCCTCGCCGCCACCGCCCTCGCCGCCCCCCGCACCTCCGCCTCGGATCCTTGTCAGCATCGAGGAGGAAGCGGGGTTAGACGGCTCTGCGACCATAAATGGCACTGCGACCGTCATCGTAACAGGGAGATTCTACGCGGTGCAGTTTACGGGCGATGTTGTCGAGGAGAGCGACCGCGTCGCGTGGGTGAGCCTGGAGTATGCAGCCGAGCACAAGGGCAAGGAGTGCGATGAAGCCTTCAACACTTCGGCCTTCTCAATCACGAACAGCTTTGGCAACTCGGTCGATGGCACGTGGGACGGCACCATCCAGGATCATGGAGGCCTTGTCGAGAAGAGGGAGGAGCCTCCCGCGTCAGGAAACTTCGTGCTCCTCAGTGACTTGGTTTTGATCAACTCGGGTCCGGACACTCGTGACGCGCTGGAGATCCCCCTTGCGGAACACGAGCCTGCAGGGACATATCAGCTCTGCCGCTTGCCGTTCAACCCGAGCAGCGAGACGAAACGACGTCGTAAGCTGCAGTCGGACCAGCAAGGGATCTTCTACCCAGACGTCATTGCGGTGGTGTACCATGTTCCCCCGAGTCCACCGCCCACGCCGCCTCCCTCGCCGCCTCCACCCACGCCGCCGCCCAGCCCGCCTCCGCCGAGCCCGCCCCAGCCCTCGCTGCCACCGCCCTCCACCTCGCCCTCGCCGCCGCCACCAGCCCCACCGCCACCCGCCCCTCCGCCGCCCTCGCCGCCGCCGCCGTCGCTGTCGCCCTCACCGCCTCCCACGCCGACACCTCCCGTGCCGACATCGACGGCCCCTACGACGACTTCGACGCCTATGCCGAGGACCTCATCTTCACCGGCCTGGACAAGTGCGACTCCGGCAATGCCGGTGCGGGCTCCTGAACCTCACGGCGAGGAGCATCTACAAGGGGCTGCATGCTCGAGTCCACCAGAACATGCTGCCCGACCGACCTGAGAGAATGTTCTGCGCCGCACCTCAAGATTGACGTGAGATTGTGAGAGAAGAGGC